TTATATTTTTATCACTAAACATAAATGTTACTAAACAGCACAAAAGAGTGAGCCTTTTGTCTGCACTCCTCAAGAAGACAAGCGTTATTAATAATTTCAATATAAATTCTATTACTGCTACTGGTCAATCATTGGTTCATTTAGCATGTACTAGTAGTAGTATATTATTAGTGAAGGTATTAGAGGAGTATGGTATTAATACAAGTTCATTAGATTATGAGGGTCAGTCTGCAGTACATTATGCTGCTTTATCAGGTTCACCTACTCTACTCAGTTATACTGTATCTGAGTATAGGTTGAATGCCAGTCAACCAGACTACAAAGGTGTAGTACCATTAGCATTAGCTTGTATGTCAGGTAGTATCAATGCAGTAGAATATATTATGAATACTACTGACATTGATATTAATATAACCTGTAATGAGGGTAGAACGCCTCTTCATTATTCATGTCGTCATGGTAACGTTGATCTGAGTCAATATCTCATTGAAGTACAAGACAGTGACATTAACATAACAGATAATAATAAATGTAATGCATTAGGTCATAGTGCTAGCAGCGGTAACATGAAGCTAGTCCAATACCTTATTAATAATCATCAATTGCCTCTCACATCATTTGCATTATTTCAAGCAGTAAATAGCACTAAACTATCATTAATTAAATTATTAGTTAATGAATATAAACTAGGTCCTCAAGTTAAAAGCGTTGATCGTATGCAAGCAGTTCATTGTGCAGCTCAAGCTGGTGCTATTGATGTCTTAGAGTATTTAGTAAAAGATTGTGGATGTGATTTAGATAGGGTAGGTGGAGCATACAACATGAATGTGATTCATTTTTCTACAATGAATCGTCATTTCTTATTTATCAATTATATTATTAATAATTATCCACAATATACTAGTCTATTACATTCTACTGATGATAATGATGCTCTACCAATTCATTATGCCTGTACTAGTGGTGTAATACAACTAGTGACATTTCTAATTGATGTAATGAAATGTGATGTCACTACTGAAGGTAAGACTGGCTTCACTTGTGTCACTCAAGCATGTCTCTCTGGTAATCTTGATCTTTTAAAATTATTAATAAAACAATACAAACTTAATCTTAGAATATTTGGCATAGCATCATCACCAGAAGCTGCAGTGAGGAATGGACATGTTCATATACTAGAATGGCTCAGACAAGAGTATCATATCAATGTAGCCTCATTTAAGAATGGTTTATTACCTTTTTATGCTGCACAAGACAACCATTTGTATTGTTTAAAGCATTTATTAAACAATTATTCATTTCATGTTAATGCCACTAAACCCTTTTATGGTACTCCATCTACTCTCCTTCACATAGCATGTCAGGAAGGACATGTTGCTATAGTTCTCTACCTCACTAGTCTTCCTCAGTGTGACGTATCAGCTAAAACTTCAAATGGATCAACAGTTCTTCATTTATCATGTAAATGTCGTTCTCTTCCTATACTCAAACATCTAGTGGAGAAGCATCAGTTGGATCTCACTATTAAAGATTACAATGGAATGGCTCCAGTTCATGTAGCCTGTGAAGAAGGATCATTGAGTATAGTCAAGTACATTATAGACCATTCACCATTATCTCTTGATATGACCGACTCTTTTGGACGTACTCCACTACTTATTGCAGCTTTCTCTAAGAACCTTCCCATCATTCGTTACCTCAACAGTAAAAACTGCAACATTTCTATACTGGATGATAAAGGGTTTAACGTAATACACATATCGGCAAAGGGAGGGTCTTTGGATATATTGAGGTTTTTCGTTGATGGTCGTTACTGTAATCCTGATATCACTGATGGTTCTGGTCGTACTCCACTTTATCTGTCAGCT